CAGCCTCAATTACTTCTTTCTCAGCCATCTTCCTCAAAACACCAACAAACCAATGCAGAACAAACAAAGAATAGATCCAAACTGATAAATGAGAGATTTTTACCTCCAATTAAAACATTAACAAGAGCCTCCGGAAGATCTCACCCCGCATGACGGAAACGAGATCCACAAATAGGAAAAATTCCACATTTATCACCAAACGAAGCCCTAGACGAACTTCTAAAGTGATCTACTCCATCAAATAGCCCAAGCATAGCCCGAGCTCTGATACCACTTGTTGTACGCGGCGGCCAAATTGTTGTGCTTCGAGGAACCAAACCAAAACGTCAAGATAGAAGGCTAAACAATCCAAGAAAACGGTACAAACACAAACAACCAATTTTTACGTAGTTCGGCAAGTTGCCTACGTCGACGGGGCATGAAGGGGATGGGGTTTTCACTAATAGAGAAGAAGAGTACAGAGTGAGATTACAAATAACTCAAACAATCAACTAATCTCACCAACAAATCTCTAATTCTCTCCAAACAAAACTCTAACCAATAGCTCAAAAAATAACTTTTTTCTGTGCTCCAAATATCCCCCAATCAATGCTTAATCAAAGCCCAATCAAAGCTAAAGAAACCCTAAAAACGTGTCTCTATTTATAACAAAACACAATCCTAAACAGATTAGGATTCTTAAAAACGAGTCTGTCACACCCGGGGGTGGCAGACACCACACCCCTGAAAACAGGGCAAATTCTGCCACACCTGAGTGTGGCAGACACCACACCCATGTCAACAGGGACAGATTCTGCCACCTGGGTGTGACAGACACCACACCAGGGTATGGTGGAGCCTGTCTTACTAATTTTTTACGTTTTTCTCAAATTCCTTCGCCGCTTTCACATAACTATCAGTAGCTATGTGTGTGAAGACTATGGGCATTCGTCATTAATTTGTCTTGAACAAGAAGCCAAAAGGAAAGCGACCCAGTTTACGGGACACTTCAATTTCCAAACGAAGGCATATTAGCATACTTCAACATGCTCTGCAATTTCCAAATGAAGGCATAATAGAAAAAGAATTTAATGTAATTTCCAAATGAAGGCATATATTCATAAGAATTTAATGTTTTGCTTTGAAAACCTATATGATAATATAATAAACTACAAAATAAAAATAATAATGGAGTTTTAGCAGTAATGCAAGCAATAACAATTATTTATTATTGTTTTATTTAAAATAACTAATCATATTTTCATTAATAGAGAACACACTGTAATATTTATTTTTTAAAGCGGCTTAGTTGATATGAAAGGAGACTTCGTTGCACACTGGAGACAAACGCCTTTCTTAAGGTCCTTTGAGACTGAGCAATATGAAGTTGGGCTAATATAGATAGTTTAGGCCGAATTTAATCTTGGATCCCCCACCCTCGCCAACCCAACCCTCCAAATACCCACCCAAAAGCTAAAGTTTGGGGATAAAATCTCAAAGTTAAAAGGAATTTTTTTCTGATAAAATCAGATAGTACGGTTTTTTTTTTTTGGAGGGGGGGAGGGGGGGTCATTATGATCCCTGTATTTAAGTGGTTGTAATTTAATTTAATTTATTAATATTTTGGAAGTTAAGTGGGGGTTATTGATGACTGTCATTTGGGTGGGGTTATTTTATTTTACCCTAAATTAATGGATCCTCCTTCCTTTTGAACTGTTTGTAGCGCATACTGTAGCTTTCTGTAGGCTGTCTAAAAATCACAACAGATAGCTGATCCCCCATCAAACACTGATGATGGAAGTTACAATCTGACGATTTCCAGAAGGTTATAATTTGAAGACTTTCACGTAGACCGATGAATGTTACAATCTGACGACTTTCACAATAACTGATGAAAGCTCTAATCAACAGCCTTCACAATCAACATCGGGAGTTACAATCTGACGACTCTCATATTTTCAAGGCGCCAAGATGAAGATTACAAGATGACAGTCTTTGCAACGCTCCAACAAAAGAGACCACAAATTAATAGTCTATTCACATCAAAACGCAGAGGTCATCCCTGCGTTTCACCATCAAAACGCAGAGGTCATCCCTATGTTATAACATCAAAACGCAAAGGTCATACCCACGTTCCAGAGTCAAAACGCAGAGGTCATACCTAGCATTCTAGTTGAAAACGCAAAGGTCATCCCCAGCATTCAAGTCCAGACGCAGAGTTCGTCGACACAAAACGCAGAGTTCATGCAAAGCCCAACTCTACGTCCGAGGTCCAAAACGCAGAGTTCATGCGGAGCCCAACTCTGCGTCCCAGGTTCAAAACGCAGAGTTCTTGTAGAGCCCAACTCTGCATCCCAGGTTCAAAACGCAGAGTTCATCTCTGCGTCCCAACTCTACGTTTCAGATTTACAACGCAGCACGACCAGTGCGTTCAGCCACCAAAAATAGGCCCAACTCTGCGTTTTAAGTCTAAAACGCAGAGTTCGGGCCCTGGACGCTATTTTTCAGCGTTTGACTCGTTCAAAGCACGAACTGAATGGTTTCAAAATCATTTTCCCCACGATTTGGGGAACTGTTTAAGGCGGCAGTTATACCCCATTCAGCTCTACTTAGGAGCGAACTAAGGGGACGGTTACACCCCTTAATTCCCTATAAATAGGGGTAAACTCAACTGAGTTCGGATCTTTTTTGATCTTGGAATATCTTAAAAATCTAGAGATCGGCTCCTTCGGATCATCTTCGAGCTTCCTGCAGCAACAAAGTTCTTGGAGCATTCCCTTAGCTTACAAATCAATTTCGGTTAAACCAACTCTTTCATAGAGATTTAAACTCTTTCAGAGTTATCAACTCATCAAGAGTTCTTTAAAACTTGCCACGCAAGTTCTTCATAGCGTCAAATCGTGAGGAAAACATATCGTTCCAGTGAATCAAGAAGTTCGGATCGTCAGCGGAGAGCAAACTCAGCGCGAGCATTCGAGAGAGGTACTCCATCGCCACCGTGAAGAACCCAAAATTAAACAAAGGGGAAAATTCAGATCAATTTTCCTCTCTTTTGTAATCGAAAATCCAAATTGCAATTGAGATTGAGAGAATACAAATCAAATATATTTTTTTTTTAATTTTTCGTTTTACTACAAATTTTCCACCAAACACTTTCATTCGTTCAATATCACAACTACCTTGAGCTATACTACTATTAATATTCTCCAACATGTAGGTACTATCCATCCAAATAGAATACGTTACATGCCCAAATTAGACTTGATTAATACTCAAATTTGAACTCGAACCAGCTGCCTCGTCTCCTTCGAGCTGCTTTATAAAGGGAAGAAAAAAGTGCGTAGCCCAGTACCACTTCCACTTCAACCACAAAAACAAAAGCTACTTTCTCTGATTGATGCGATCTCACCTTGTGAGATGTTCAATATATAGTCAATGCTGTTGATCATTGCTACAAGGGCTCATATATTCTGGAGATCATGATTACTCGTGTACATGATACCAAACATATATGCAAGTTATGCGCAGTAAGTCCACTTTAATTTAGTTGAAATTTATTTGAACTACAGAGTGATTTGTCCTCACTCATGACATAAAGCATGCAGGTGCTTTTTACACTTGTTCAGAATGATAATAAATTGGTCTCCTTGTGAGTTGGTCGATGACTTTACAGTATTCACCAACTTTCATCATAATACCGTCGGCGTTGACGAGCATAAAAGAGTGGAAACAAAAATCTGAGCATGCAAGTCAACAATGTTATCAAGATCTGAGAGAGAAAGAGAAGAGAGGGAGAGGGCTTCTCATTCGAAGTTATGGCTTGGTGTTCACTGGTTCCTTCCTGTCATATGCTTTTGTATCTTTCAACAAAGAAGCGTGATTTGTATGGATCGTTGTATGGATTGATTTCATTACTCATATCATTCAAGATAACGAACCCATCTATATATTTTTATGTTTAAAATATGTAGATATATGTCCATTGTGCACAAAGATTGATATGCACGAAGAGACGACAAATCAACATATAGAATATCTATCTATATTATATATTAAATATCCCTTTTTGAGTCCCATATTTTGATCAAAGTGACCATATTTTGATCATAGTGACACCACTTTGATTAAGGAGGAGAAGATCCCAACCACATTTAACACCCACTAATCTAATAGTTGGACCACGCATCCTATCAAAACAACCTGCATGCTGAGCCACATCAATTCGCCTCCTGTTTGGCACATCGAGTAGATCCACTCGCTCGCATGTGGTGGTTCTGATAGAAACAATACTCCCATAGCTGACCCACCAATAAAACAACAAGATCCCACCGAATTATTAATCTCATACTTCTCATCCAACCAAAACTACCCTGCAACTCAATTATAAAACTTGGCTTTTCCATTAGTCCCCCTAAATCTTTAATAGTCCGTAATTAGTCCTCCAAAATGTTTTAAAATTATTCTCTCCAAGTTTTAACTATTTTGCAATTAGTCCACAAATCTTCATATTTTAAAATTAGTCCCCTAAATATGATAAGTGTTATGAAATTAGTCCCGCAAATATTTTAACCTGATACTAACTAGAGGTACTAATTTAAATACATTTAAAAGATTTGGAGGACTAATATCTCTAATATGAAGATTTGAGGGACTAATTTTCTCCTCACAATTAATTACATAATGACGCAACTTTCTAAACATCCTAGAGGCACCACTGTATTTTGAAAAAAAATATAGATCTCTCTCACACTTGATCACAAGAATTTAAAAGAAGAACTAGCATATATCATTCATTGTCTGGACAAGTCAACTACAACATTCCTTCACTAATTTGTGTCGTGCACGCACACCACACACACCGGAATGATAATATGAAAAGTCCGACAAATAATATAAGGTAATTAATTAAATATGTACTATATTACTAATTGGTACCAAGACCACATAAGATGTACTACTACTTTGATGATGGTTGAGAAATAAAAAAAAAAAGAAGAAAAAGTTGCGATAATAAAAAAAAAGAAAGAAAAAAAGACAAAGTTATTACTGATTAATTACATATAATAATATATAAGGCTTGGGTCCTGTGACAAGATTACTCACAACCATTACATATCTATTAGTGGTATCATAACATCCCCTTGATGATCCCATCACGTTATATAAGTAGATACTAGCTAGTCTTTCTCTTCGGGTAGAAAATAATTAAAACTCCAAATACCAGCTTCATGGTTTGTGGTGCTGTGTGTAGATGTAGTCCAAATGAGCTTCAGATGTCATCCGCCTCCTCAAGCACTCCTCGTCTCCATCATCACAATGTTCCGGTCCCATCAACTGCAAGTATATTAATTTGTACCATAATAAAATCAGTAAAAGCAAATTAAATAATTAAATTAATGTGATAGAAGGGTGAAGTATATATTTACATCCAAAGAGTCATATCCTTCCATCTCAGCCTGTAATGCCTGATCTTTTCCTTCATGTCATTAACCAAAAATAAATACATTACTGAGAAACAGTACATATATAATAATATAGAGAATTGCAAACTAATTAATTATGAGCAGATCGAGCTTCATGAATTACCTTGTTCAGAGTGATACTGCGCAGTATTATGAACAGCAGAAGGGATATAACTGGGTTTTGCAATTGAAACGCGAGAAGCAGCGGTCTTGGTGATCACGAAGAGAGAGCTGAGAACAACCGCTGAAACCACAAGAATAATAAGGCTATGGAAAGAGGAGATGCGCTTCATGGTTGTGGTTTTTTTTTATTTGGGAAGGAATATAATGAATGTGGATATTGATGTGAGTGGTGAGTTTGGGATCATTATTTATAGATGCATAAAATAAATAATATTGCATGCGCGCTAATATTAATTTTCGTTGTCGCGCACTTGTGTTATAGGCTTTCGGTCAGGCCTCAGCAACGTCTTTCACATGACCCGAGAAACAAACAAAATGGTTACCCGCACCTCAGCTGTCGTGGGGTCCACCCTCCACTCGCCATTGCCGAATAAAGTATGGGTGGATATTGTGTGTGCACACATGCAGCCCTCGCTGCACATGCACATGTACATCACAATCACAACGCACGATGCACATGCTCATGTCTTTGTCTCCTGCACAACAAAAACACTGAGATGCATGGTTCAGTCCCTTTGACTCTCTTCTGACATGTTTCGAGATTACTTCATCTTCAGTGATTATTAGGGGTTTTTTTAAGGCTTGATATCAGAAAACCTCTCATAACTTTGAACGATTAACGGATAATCTCCTTTAACTTTGGACTTTTGCACAAAATCTTGTTTAACTTTAAGATTCTTTGAGGATGGCTTCCTGTGAACCATAATTTCACTGGATGGAACATCTCATTGCGTAATTTTACACACATGGAAAGATTTGCAATTAATTTTGTTAGGGATCTTTTTTTATAAAATCTTAAATTAAAGAGTTATCAGTTTTTTTTTGTGGGGGTGGGGGTGGTACTTATCCAAGGTGGTGGTGGTTGTTTTTAAAATATAATATCTAGAGTTATACAGATGTAAGAATTTTTTTCTGAAAATTCTTATGCGATAATTACATGCGAATTTTAGAATAATTTAACTAGTTTTATTTGTTAAGTTTATCATTAAATGAATTTATCAAAATCCTGCTCTAAAGTAGAATTTACATAGGCTGGAAATAGACATACGGATACCAATGTTATCTAGGGACTTATATAGGGGAAGACACGTTACCCAAATCCTGGTTTGTGTCATGCATGACTCAGTCAGTACTCACGAGGACTGGACGTTGAAGTGATCAGTAGAGACTTCAGAAGAGCAGCTAGTGCTATCTTTGTTTTTTGTTCGGCTGTTGACGATGACAAGTCAACGGCTGGACTGTCATGTTCTTTACTGGGGCGCTGAGCTGTATGATCCTGTCTTGCATGTATGTCGTTCCTGAAATAAGAGAGCGAGGATCGATCAGTTTGACGAAGTTAATGAGATCAATTTTGATCCAAGTCACACTCTTAATTAGTTTTTCATTATTTGTATCTAATCTAGTTGTAATCTCGTCTGATTTTGGTCGATAATTAGATTTGGACAAATCCAACAAATGTTTCGAAATAACTGAATCGTGTCTGGTCCAAAAAATACTAGAGGGAGGGAAGAAAAACAAAGACATCAAAATATCAGTCCTAACTCAGTTTTAATTGAAAAAAGCAAAACTAAATTGCACCAAAGCCTAATTGTACTTCAAAAAATAGTGTAGAGCATACAAAGGACCATTTATTTACTTGCATGCATTTGCTGAGAATTTTGCTTGAACACGGGACTTTACGAGTATAAAATCATGGATTTTTATTAAATACATTGTTTAATTGTTATTGTTCACACTATGAATTTCGGGTTGCCAAGTAGAATAAATGCATCAAATATAACTTTTTAAAATTGTGCATCCAACCCAAATTTCCTCAAAAAAAACTTTATGTATAACTAAACAAAAAATTTGTTGAACACTAATATCCTTCATGCAAATCATCTTTATTATTCATTGTAAACACACAGGCTTTTGATCATGGATTTTTTAAGATCCATGGCATGCATCAAAATACAATCTATGAATCAAACAGTCTCTATAAGCTAGTTCAAAAGTGATGGGAGCAAGGGTGGTTGGTTATTAAGTTGGATATGTCATTGTCACTGACTGTTTTTTCTCTCACCAAATCAGTCCTCACATAAGCACCACATCAATCTCACTCTAGAATGTTCTTGTATTTTCTTGTATATTCTTTTTAAATGAGATATTTGCATAGAATTCTCTAGAAAATCAATGTTGGTCATTGGATGTAAAGATTTCTCTAGAAGAGAAATCAAGGCCATTATGTAACGGGAACCTCCCCTATATAAGGAGGCCAAGGGGAGATCATTTATAACCAAGCAAGTTTTGAATAATAAAATTCTAGTTCCTCTTAAAAGTTCCCTTACTTTCTTGAGTGCTCGGTTCGGTAGGCTAAACTTAGCCATTCTAGTGAGCCGAGAGTGAGCTAAGTGCTGCACGAAAAGGATAACTTGTGTGCTAAAACAAAGCGCCCGTGACAGTTGCTATCAGAGTGGATTCGGTTCGTGGGAGATGACTATCTTTGATGTGATCAACGAGCAAAATGTGATTAAGGGTGGCACCAATCTGGAGAAGGCCCTGGTCCAAAGGGGCATACCCGTGATGCACTGACGACGTTGTAGGCACGATTGAGTAAGGTGGAACTCACCGTGACTAATTCGAGGGATCAGCTTGAGACTAAGGAGGAACGCATCAAAAAGATCAAGTCCATGGGGAATGAGCTCTGGGAAGAGATGTGGCTAGCCTTAAATTCTACTGTCAATTTGTGAGAGCAACTAACCACTACCCTTGAGGCCCGGAATATGAACCTAGAGGGTCAAGTGGAGAGACTTACCAAGGCATTGGAAGAGCCCAAGGGCAAGTTCAGCCAATGCAAGGTGACTATGGCGAATGAGGGAATCGTCATGCCAATGCTCAGGACGAGGATGGAGGTGCCCAAACGTAAGCCCTATGTGGAACTCAGAATACACGAGAGCTAGATAACTACTTGCGGAACTTGTACTAGAACTTTGATGTTGTTGGTTGCATAGATGATGGGTCCAAGCTAAAGATAGCACCACTCTACCTTTAAGACGTTGCTACACTATGGTGGTGTAGACGGTGTGATGACATTCGACATGGCTCATGCACCATCAACACTTGTGAAGAGCTCAAGACCTAGATCAAGAACCAAATTTATCAGGAGAATGCTAAGAATGTGGCTCGGGGTAAGGTTTATTGCCTTACACAAAAAGACACCATTAGGGACTATGTCAAAGAGTTCTCAAAACTATTGTTGGAGATCCCAAACATGAGCTAGAAAGACTCTCTCTCTTCTTGTTCATGGATGGCCTAGCTGGGTGGGCTAAGATGGAGCTACAAAGACAAGGCGTTTAGATCCTTGCACAAGTGATGGCTGTGGCTACGTATCTAATCGAGTTCAAGAAGAGAGACTCATCCAAGCCTAAGGACAAAGACAAAAATGGCGGCAAGTCAGTTAAAAGTGAGGAGAGAAGGAGAAACAATCCAACAAAGAAGTCCCACCAAAGCTACCCTTATCGAAGGGAAAGTTCTTTGATAAGTTCAAGTCTAATGGAGACCCTCTGCGGATATCGTGCTACTTTTGTGAAGGACCACACAACGCTATGGACTAATCAAATTGGGCCAACATTATTGTGATGGTTCAACGGGAAGAGGAGAAGTAGCAGGATCAGTCTCAGCTAAGTTCTCCTGAACACCATTCGTGCCAAGGTAGACAAGCGGCCGAAGGGACCAATGTTCATGGAGACAACCATTGTGGGTAAGACCTTTAAAGCCTTGCTCGATACTAGTGCTTCCTCTCTTCTTGTCTTAGATGTTGCAACAATGAAGCTAGGACTCGTGGTGTCAAAATCAGATGGCATCATCAAGGCAGTGAACTCGTAGCCCACACCCTGTATCGGTATAGCTCACAATGTGGATGTGAGCATAGGTGAATGGCATGGCCAATAAGACCTCACGGTCATGATGGTTGATAACTTTGAGGTGGTCATGAGGTTGGAATTCTTAGGCAAGACCAACGCTGTTCTAGTCCCTTACACCAACACTATGTATTTATTGGAGGGCAAGCCATGCATAGTCCCAATCGAGAGAGAGAGAGAGAGAGAGAGAGAGAGAGAGAGAGAGAGAGAGAGAGAGAGAGAGAGAGAGAGCAAAGTCCTTTCAGCCTTACAGATTCCTAAGGGCATTGGCATATAGGCATTGACGTTCATCGCTATGCTTAAGGTGGAGGAAGACTGACCTATGGAGGATGAAGTCCCACAGGAGATTCAGGCTATCTTGGC